GTCTATAACCTTCTTTATTAGGCTATTGCATAGCTTCTATCGCGGGCCTTGAGTGCGGGAAAATCCAGAAATTTCGTAACGAAAAAAAACCTCACGCTCTCCGACGGGCACGGAGGTGTGACTTGAAGGCCGTGCATTGTCTAACGATGGTCTAACGTCGTTTCTTTTCCTCAGTCTTCCACACGGTGTTTGTGTATAAAGTGTTTTGAAATTTTGAATATGAATGAACAAAGTGCATTTATTATTAATGAAGAAAGTCACGAAAAAACAGTGAAAGAAAATGAGTGAGTACTCTATATACATACCTACATTTTATTATTATCACAAATGCAGTACTAATTTTGAATTGAAAATATAATACTGCTATAAAGATAACCTAAATTTTGATATTAAAATGAGCGATATTAAAAGTAGCCCTCTTTATATACACACAAACACACACACGCGTATAGTTTAAATTCTCAATTTAGATTCTCAATATGTATATATATATATATATATATATATATATATATATATATATACTCGATTAACCGGACTAATTGTTGCCGTTAGGGATTCGGATAATCGAAAATCCGGATGATCGAATGTATGAAGAAAAGCGGGTTTTGTGCATTTGTAGTACATATGTACATACATAATGTTATGTGTTTATTAAAACCAACAATTTCAACGAAAATCAATGTTTATCAAGAAATTATTATTTTTTAATAAACATTGATTAAATTCCATGAAGAGATATAAATCTATATAACCATCCGTTACTTGCGACAAACGAGCCGCCGTCACCTAATTTTTTATTTAACTGTAATGCTTTTTCACAAAGCAATGGGCCAGATATCATTTGCCCAGTTGATCGTTTTTGTAAAAACCAACAATACAAAGCGTCTTCTAATTGCCAATTTACTCGCGGACATAGGTCCTTATGTCCGGGACGGGGGTTTGTTAGCACCTGATAGTAGATCGTCTTATCTCAAGCGGTGTGAAGCGACGATTAGTGAGGTGCGGGAGGGGGAGGTTAGCTGCATTTGTGCGCGCGGTCGGTCACCCCTAAAGTTGGGCGTTATAACATACAACAGATAATATATTTCATTATATATTTTTAATCTTACAACACATTAGAATAATGAACCATTGACTGTTATAATATTATATTCATTATCGTTAGAAAGCGTCATCTGTTTACGTTTACGGTCCAACCGTCGTGTCGGCCGAGACAATGGGAGTCAATAAAATACTACCTACATTCATTATGCCACAAGGATTGCGTATAGCTTACACTAATTTAAACTCTAAGCTAACTTAATAAGAGCTTATTTTACTAACACAAACGCGAAGCCGGGTTGTTCATATATTGAAAGTCTCCTTGTTTTGTCTTAGACTTATGTTAATAGAGCGTGCCATTTGAACTTAAAGACAATTAATTGGACAATAAATAATAAGTGACAAATCTTGCCGTGGAGCGTGGAACTGAGTAGTTGCGCGTCTTGTTAATATAATTGCCGTACGGCCGCCCTGACGTATGTACTGCGCGAACCTGGGTTTTTTGCGACGCGGTCCGGTGATACAGTATTTTTCACAAATAGTGAGTTCGTTATAACGTGGGTTCGGGTTAATCTGGTTGAATTTGATTGGATTAACCTAAGTAACTTGAATTAATATCAAAGAAAAAGAAATACTGCATAAATAAAATAAATAAATAATTATAATTGCATAAGTTGATACAAAATGCTATGCAATAGCTTTACCGCGGCAGTCCCCGAGTGCCACACGTCTTTATTTTTGGAGTTGGCTGCATCTGTCCATTGACTATATTAGCTACTTACAATCACTGTCGGATTGTTTACAAAATAATTTTGAAAATATTGAAATAATATTATATACCAGAAAATTTTTGTAAAATATTTCCTCTCCAAATCCTTGGAAATAACCTAAAGTTACTGAAAAGTAGAAGTAAACAACTGATTCACAATTAATAACTTGTTGGAAAATCCATGTAACAATAACAATATTGTAACACAAGGTAGCACAGCTGTTGCAGAACATTTCGGCCAACTGACGCGCACTAATGAAGACATGGTAGTGTACATTTGTTACGAAGATGACGCTAACAAGTTTTCGTCGCATTCAGAAGTGTGTAGGGTGTAGGGTGTTGTCAGTCAATGGTCTTTATGGGAGGCGGTTTTCATGAATAACTGTGTGCCTTTGATACATTGTACCTTAGCGTTGTCATTAAAATTAATTTGTTTTATTTAGCCTGTCCAGTTTTGTAACGGGAATAGGAAAAAAAATATCCATCTATAAAAAATATCGTACTATGTCGAAAGCAATGAGCTGTTTACGTTATAAAAGACATTAAATTAATTTAATTTAATTTAGTTTTTATAATACTGTCGTGTTGGAGACGTAAGACAATTAATCAACCTATTTCATCACATGAGTGGAATCTTATGTAATACCTGGGCTTAAAATATACCCACACCGAAGACAGTAAGTAGTGGTATAAAACAGATGCCATTTCTCTTGCCAAGCGTAAAGTGATGGTAGTAAAACCTTCCCGTATAGGAAGAGGTTCAGAAGTGGAATTTTCAGGACTGATGCAGAAGAAGACTGTAAAGTAGCATCAATGTGCTCTTGTTAACGTTTGTACTCATTCTGGACGCCTGTCTGCCAGATCTAGTCTGCCAGTCAAATAAGTTGACCAAGTCCGATTTGATATCGGCAAAATTATTATATCATATTTTTCAGTTTCATTTATTGGATTCAATAATGTTTACACCAGCTTAATCGTTCGCTTAAGACATTGAAAAAAAATCAATATGGCAGAGGAACACTGCAGCTATGTTACGGATATGTTCGTGGCACGAATGGTTCGGCTCGACCGGAAAAAACCCACGGTCTTATTGAATACAATTAATGCTGTTGTGTTACGTATTATAATTGTTGAGACACAAATACCCTATTTTACTTGGAACATTTATCATAAAAATTTTGATTCTTAATCGAAGATAGATGTAGATGTGTATGGACACCGTGTACTCGCTTCTCATTTTCATTTTATAAAAAAAACACTACAAAAAAGTTTTACTAAGATATAAAAACATAGTTAAAACATTACTTAGAAGGTACTACTACTAATAACTAAGCAGTTAAAGCAAATAAATTCTAAGTTTAATAAATACGGATTCAATATTAAGACAAATACAAAGAAAGTGCAAATGTTCGTACACCCATTTTAAATAAAAACCCTCTATAGTCACAATATTTTGAAATTTCCTTAGTTTAGCAGCTTTAAGTTTTAAAATAATTAAATTTCGGAAAATAATAATTTACATTCATTTATTTACGAATTTAAGATTAATTAAAACAAGAACATATTGGTCGGTAGCCAGCTAGCTGCGCAGGACAAGATTAGTGCCTGAGTGTATGCCGCAAGTACAGATGCGCTTTGTATTACTTCACACATTCACACTCATAGTAGAGATCAGTAGCAAGACCAACATGTATATTTACAGGAGAACCTGTATATTTACAGGCTGTGAGGAATTCCCTCTTATCTGCGCAAAGTCGAGCAAAAAAAGCGGCACGGCCCTAGCATATTTTCTCGAAGCAATTCAGGCCATTTTCAACTCCCTATAACTTCGTTGTGGATTGAACTAGAAACTTGAATTTTCAGAAACCAAGCAGCCATTTTATACTCACGGTATGTTTCAAATTTCATTCAATTTAAAATATAATGTTAATATTATATGCTCAGATTAAACTTCGTGACCTCAACGCTAGTTGAAGAATGTGTGAACTGTTTAAATGCCTTGGGGTGTAACAACAGGGTCGTTTTGAAATTGGTTTCGTTTAATTCGTATTGTAGGCAGTGAACAAACCGACAAGCTGGCAAAGGATGGTTCAAAGAGCCAAGACAAGAGCCATTTTGTGAATTTAATAAAGCCTGGTCCGATTGACTCTTGTTATTCTTAATCACCAAGAAGGGTAAATCCTGAGATTCGGCGTATTCAGTTGATTCCCTTGGCGAAATTTATTTTTACAGATATTTTATAAGTAACATTGTAATGTAATATAATTAAGTTAAGTAAAACTTAACTTAATTATAAACACATTAACGAATAGGTATCACTTTTGGCCGGATAGTTAGTAGATAGATAGTAGAAAATATAGCATTTTAAATTTTTTTGGCCAGCAAAAGATTTATACGAAAATCAATGTTCCTAAGTCGTATCGGTCCGGAAAAATCTCTGGTGGTAGTTGATTCCACAAGGAAGTTTTGTGGGTTAACCCAGATACTGCGACGGAGCTTTTAAAAGACCCGAAAAAATTATTAAAAATACCCTCAAGTTTCGAGTTGTTAAAATGAATTCTCTAAGATATTTGCACTGTCAGGTTACTTAGTACCTATCCGTGTATGATTTCATGCGGTGTTGTTTACAACTATACACTTGTTTATTTAAAGTTTTTGTGTTATTGAAGACTTAGGAGTATTAGTGTCATGATGTCTGGACAAAGGTAAGCTTTTATCATTTATATATCTGGATGTTGTTGCTAATACATTTTGATATTTAATTTTAGATATATTATCTACAATATCAGGTTATCTATTTGTTTTGGTGCAACAAAAAATCATTCCTTTTTCACGTTTCAAATTGATGGCCCTTTAAAAGTCCCGTCGCAATATGGGGGTCTATAATATTATTGTTTTCCTTTTAGCACGCGACCTTTGATCTCAACGATATAGATTGAATCTCAACGATATAGTTGATGAATTAGAGCGATGTGAGGATGATGATTTGTTGCCAACTCAAATTGCAATTTTTCCACCTGAGAACGCTAATGCCGACGTCACAGATGAGGATTCTGGAGATGAATAATTTGTTGCATTGAAAAATCTACCAGGTAAAATATTTGTTTTCGGGTTGATATAACTACGTATCAATGATTCTATCTTGTTTTATTTATATGGTTACAATATTTATATCTGTTTTTTATAGGCTCTCAACTACGAGCTCCAGCCGAGGTCACTTTTCATATGAGTTCCGACGAAGAAGATGATGTACCTTTGTCAAGTTTGTCAAAAAGAAGACGCACGATGGATTTGACTTTAGAAGATAGTGACGCCGTACCTTCTTGTAATTCAGATGTGTCAACTAATTCTACATTTGTTCAGCCTACAGTTCCCCGAAACCAAACCTATAGATGGAAGAATCGTCATATTCCAAACCATTTCAATCAATGGAATGACGAACAAAGTCCAAAAAACTTACAATCACCCTTATATTATTTCGACTGCTTGTTCAACAACAATGTTATTGAATTACTAGTGCGATATACTAATTTGTATGCAGGACAGAGGAATAAAGTGGGCAAAGTAACTGTTTCTGAAATGAAGTGTTTCTTGGGCAACCTTATGTACAGCGGGTATGTAGTAGTACCCCGTAGGTTTATGTATTGGGAGACATCGACAGATGCCGACTTTAGGATTGTGCACAACGCTATGTCAAGAGATCGTTTTACTTTTATTATGTCAAATCTCCACTGCTGTGATAATACAGTTCTTGGTGATTCTCCTGACAAATTCGCTAAGTTGAGACCTCTGTTTGATGAGTTAAATAAAATCTTTACTGAAATTGCTCCGCTAGAAAAGAACTACAGCATAGATGAGGCTATGGTTCCATACTATGGACGTCACAGTTGCAAACAGTTTATACGTGGCAAACCAATTCGTTGGGGGTATAAACTGTGGGTTGATGCTACAAGATTAGGCTACGTGATTTGGTTTGATCCTTACCGGGGAAAATCTTCAACCATTGTAGAAGGTTACAAACAGTTTGGTCTAGGTGGGAGTGTGATTTTGGAGTTTACTGATGTTCTACAAGGTCGTGATCCAACATTGCCATTTCATTTATTCTTCGACAATTATTTTTCCTCTATTCCTCTACTGCATGAAATTAGTAATAGAGGTCTGAGAGCCACTGGAACTATTCGTGAAAATAGAACGACCAAGTGTCCTCTCGAGTCTAACAAAGATTTCAAAAATACTGATAGAGGTTCATTTGTATTCAAATCCAGTTTGCCTACCAATATTTTGGTTTGCAAGTGGAATGACAATAGTGTCGTTACTGTTGCCTCGAATACTGAAACTGTGGAGCCCCTGCAAAAAGTCACGAGATTTTCGCAAGAACTAAAAAAAATTTGTACATATTGACCAACCGCCGGTTATAAGAAAATACAATGAAAATATGGAAGGGGTCGATAGATCCGATCAAAACATAGGGTTGTATCGGACTTCTATTCGTGGCAAGAAATGGTATTTTTCACTGTTTTGTCACACCTTAGATATGGCTGTGCATAATGCATGGCAACTTTACAAGCGAGACGGTGTAGAACATGACCATCTCACTTTTCGTAGACTACTGGCGAAAGGTTTGCTCGAAAGCTACAAAAAAAGCGATAAGAGAGGACCATGTCCCACAGGTAGATCTCATCTTGAATCATCTCGATATGATGGGGTTGATCACTTGGTCCAGTACAGCGCTGCCCAACTAAGATGCAAAGTTTTCAAAGTTAAAAGTTTTTTTATTTGCCAAAAGTGTAAGATTCATTTACATCCTAAGAACTGTTTCCTTGAATATCACACTAAACTCAGTAAAGTTAGTGAACTTTACTGACTTTTAGTGTGATATACTTAGTGAAGTGCTGTTGTTTTATTGTGAGACATCATATCACATAACTTGCTATACCTATGTATATTTTCTTTTGTACAGTTAAAATTTACCGTAATAATAAAAAACTAATATAATAACAGTTTGTTTTATTATTAGACCGCCACATAGACGGCTTTTCTGAAAACATGTATTTTTTTTACTATTTTTCCTGGTTATTATGAGTCATTTTAACTATCATATCCGAATATCACCAAGATCGAAAACAAAAAATAGTTACAGTAACATCTGGGTTAAACTGTCTACTCTTAGTCCTACTATTAACATTTGTTTTAAGTACCTAGTTTTCTAACTTTCATGATAATATTGACTTGCTCATTATAACTATTAAGCACAATACATAAATATAAGCATTGTTATTAAAACACAATTGAATTTTTCAACAGAAAACATCATCATCTCCATCATCAGCTACATTGTCACTTTCATCATCATCTCCATCATCATATTCTCTTTTTTATTTTTCTTCTGCATCAGTATGTAAAAAAAGAAAGGAGGATTCGCCTTAATCGTTCAAACGTCACTCAATTTTAGGAACGCTTCCCGTCTCTGGTCCGGGTATTTTGTGTCTGACGTAAACGAGTGGTATACAGAAATCTTGTGAAAGACATAAGATTTTTCTGGCCTTTCCGAAAGTGGCCTCTTATAATACGCACGGGAAAAAATTGAGTGATATATTACTTCACACGACCACTACACAATATGAAAAAATTACCCTTGTATGACACTTTTTTATGAACTTTTGTTATGACACATTATGATAAGAGAATGTTTAATATAATACAGAACGAAATATAGAAGTATTTCTGTTATCTGCAGGAAAATTGCAACGTCTTTATTGATACTTGAAACGCAGCATTCAATTTGGTAAGTACAAATCCAAACTGAAACTTTAAATGTGTGTACTACAAATCCATTGAAGCATATGTGTATGGCTGCATTACAGGAGCGTAGGTTAATTGCGGTAATTGTTATTTATTACTTGCTATTCACAATATCTAGCGATAATCTTATATTAAGGAAGATAAGCTAGTATGTTGTGTTGTATTATTAGAATTATTTATCTAAGACTTTAAATAAATAAAATGACATATATTCCACGGATCAAAAAGCTAAAGTGGTAATGGGGCTGCAGTGGTAACAGAAGGTCGAAAATTCAGAACCAGCAGAAAATCCAGAAATAAGATCAGCTTAGAACGACAATTGGATGAATTGAATACTTAATTAGACATCCTTAGACATCCATTCTGAGAGTCGGTGATTGCAGATGACTCAGGACGGTCCTCTTTAGTTATCTTAGGTTAAATCAATAAATCACAAAACATTATATTTTTAGCTGTGCGCTTCTTATTTACCACGAGTAAATTATACAAATATTTCAAATAACTTGTGTACTGTCGTCGCGCCGCAAGCGAAACACACCGAAGCTTAAATCACGCTATCAACATTCCGAATCATAAACAGCATATATAGAACATCTCCGAACTATCACACGGAGTGTTGGCCGCTCCCCGGGCATAACACCTTGCCCGGTGGGGGTCTGCCCTTTTCCTTCCACGGCCATAGTGGTGACTAACCGACGTGATCTGAATACGCAACCAACAATCTTCGGAAACTTCAAGCTTCATCATCGTCATAGAATACCCCACCCATTCTCTCCCGAGCAGATATCGTCTGCAGTCTTCAGTTCCTGCAAGTCAGTCCAACTTGTCTTCATCTCGACTCACCGCAGATTTATAAGGCAGACTTCTGACACTTTTCCGGCACATCGTTCTCACCGGCATCACTTGCCAGTGCGTAGTACGGCATGCATTACACATCGGCATATTATTCGCACCGGTTTCACTTGCCCTTACGCACACAGCATGCATTCCCAACCGGCATTAAAAGGACACACCGGCAATCGGACTGCACTATCGACTTCCGGTCTGATCAGGGGGGTGATGTGGCGGCGCTGTCGTCGCGCCGCAAGCGAAACACACCGAAGCTTAAATCACGCTATCAACATTCTGAATCATAAACAGCATATATAGAACATCTCCGAACTATCCGAATACTATACTCCGAACACACGGAGTGTTGGCCGCTCCCCGGGCATAACACCTTGCCCGGTGGGAAATCTCCCCTTTTCCTTCCACGGCCACATACTCTTATAGCGCCAGAAGGCAAGCGAATTTCTAATAACAACTAAAAATAAACTATTTGCTTACCTACCTTATTTTTTTACAGGATTAGGGTGACAAACGAGCACACAGTCCACCTGATAGTAAGTGGTTGCTGCGGCCCGTAGACATCTACACTTAACCTCGATTAAGAATCAAAATGCAGATTGAATAAAACTACTTTTATGAATTTTATCGAGTTTATTTTACTATTATTTCTAATTCCCGACGTTTCGGGCGCTTTCCAGCACCCATGGTCACGGGGGACTGAGATGAGTGACGTCCCAATGTCATTGTTAAACCCGGAGTACCTTCAGCTTTTTTATTTATTGTTTATGGTCCGATCTATGCAAAATGAACTGACTATGTCCTGAGGTCTTGGAGTGGTATGCTTGGGTTTAGTTTTAATTTTATTGATTATAGGATCCCAAGCAGGTGGTAGTACCCAGCCTCCTTCTCTATTGAAATTAGGATGTTTTTTAATTTCAATAGCCTCACGTATCATCCTTGGTAGGAATCGGTGTTTTTTGAGAGGATTTGTGGTCTATCAAATATGATGTAATGGTTGGCGCCGTCTAGGATATGATCGCAAACTGCAGACTTCCCGGAACGTTGATGCTTCACATCAGCTATATGTACTTTTACGCGGGTTCTAATTGATCTTTTTGTTTGGCCTATATAAGAGAGACCACATTCACAATCAAGTTTGTACACTCCTGCATCTTGTAGAGGAATATGACACTTGACTGATGGTAGGAACTGACTAATCTTCTTCGGCGACTTGTAGAATGTTCTAATAGAAGCTCGCTTCAAGATGTAGTCAATCTTGTCTGTGACACCTCTGACATAATTATGGTAGTACAGCAGGCACACACTCGACTGTGGCCGGCTTCCCTCGGTCACTGTGACGTAGGCGCGGGACCCGAAGCTTGTTGTCGTACAGAATTTGCTTGACGTGCTGAAGCTCGGCGGCCAGGTGTTTGCTGTCACAGATCCCTCGTGCTCTCTGTAACAAAGATTTGCCCACGGTAGCTAACTGTGAAGGATGGTGGTGAGATTCACCGTTTAAATATCGGTTTGTATGGGTCTTTTTCCTATACACAGTGTGAGTGTGTGTGGTTATAATGGATACGTCAGATTACAATTTTAAAATACAACAACTTTTGTCGGATGAAACTACATACCGAAAGGTCAAAACAGACCCTACAACTAATACGCTTAAAACAACTAGCGATCTAATTAAGAAATACTCCGAGAAATTGAATCTGGACGTTAATTCGATAATACCTTCATGTGCCAAACAGTAAGTCAGATTGATTCGCCAACTTACAGATTGGCTCAATACTAGCTAAAATATTATCACCACTCAGAGGACACACAAGAGCACACACTAAGGATTCATACCATTTTGTCAGTGAGATAAAAGACCCTGGTTTCATTGTCTTACTGACAATGAAACCATGGTCAGTTTTGATGTTCAGTCTCTATTTACATGCCTACCTGTTGAAGACTGCATCTCAATTATAACTAGGAAACTAGAGGAAAATAATATGCCAGCAGAATATGCAGTATTACTCAGACATTGCCTTACATCTGGCTGTCTATTGTGGAAGGAAGAGTTTTACAAGCAATTACATAGATGGTGTTGGGATGGGCTCACCTGTATCTCCCATTGTTGCCGATATATTCATGGAAGACTTTGAGGAGAAAGCCCACCTTACTGCACCTGTTACACTAAGGATCTAGAAGCGGTACGTAGACGATACTTTCACAAGTTTACCATCAGATAATGTAACTGTATTTTTTAGAACATCTTAATTCCATAAACTCTAAAATTCAATTTACTATGGAGTTGGAGGCTAATAATTCCTTACCTTTCCTAGATGTGGAAGTCATCCGAAATCCTAATAACACCATTGGCCACACTGTGTATAGGAAAAGGACCCATACAAACCGATATTTAAACGGTGAATCTCACCACCATCCTTCACAGTTAGCTACCGTGGGCAAATCTTTATTACAGAGAGCACGAGGGATCTGTGACAGCAAACACCTGGCCGCCGAGCTTCAGCACGTCAAGCAAGTTCTGCACGACAACAAGCTTCGGGTCCCGCGCCTACGTCACTGTGATCGAGTGAAGCCGGCCACAGTCGAGCGTGTGCCTGCTGTACTACTATAATTATATCAGAGATGTCACAGACAAGATTGGCTACATCTTGAAGCGAGCTTCTATTAGAACATTCTACAAGCCGCCGAAGAAGATTAGTCAGTTCCTACCATCAGTCGAGTGTCATATTCCTCTACAATATGCAGTAGTGTAC